CGGCTTAAATTTAATTATAAAAAATTTAAAAATTCGGCAATAATTCGACATGCCGAATGACCAAATTTCGACTAGTGTTATGTGTAACAGAAAATCTTTTAATTCATTAAAAATATAATTAATACTAGTAATATAATAATAATTATTATTATTGTAATAGAATTTTTTATTAACCAATGTTTAATTAGAAACTGGTTTTAAGAAATTTTTATATATAAGTAGAGAATTTTATAATTGATAAAAAATTAATCAATTTATTATCATATCTATTAATATAGTATATCTATATAATCTTTTAAAATATTAAATAATATACAGTATATTGTTGTATATAATTAGTAAAGATTAAAATAAATAAATTTTTTTATATTAAATATATTGTTTTTTATTGATTAAGAAAGTTTGATATTAATAAAATTTTTTTAAATTTGGATAGTAATAAAAAATTATAAGTTATATAATTTGTTTTATTTTTATAATCTTTTTGTTTTTATATTTGAGTTTAATTAGAACTTAATAATAGCTTTCTTAGATTCAACTATAATAACTTTTAAAACAAGTTAGAATATACTCTAATATTTCTTGTAGGTATATTTTTTTTAGATTTTTAATCTAATATTAAAATAATTTAGTTATTTAACTAACTAAAATAATGTATTTATTGAATTTTTAGTATTATTGGTCTATAGCAAATCTGTTATTAATTATAGACTGAGACTCATATAATAGTAATAATTAGAGATTATAAGTCACTTGCTTAATCAAAAGTATGTATTAATAAACTCTCTTATTCTTTATTGCCATATAATCCTTTACTACAATTCTCTATTGTCTCTTATAAAGCTTCTAATGGTACTACTTTGATATTTGTTTAATATCAGTTCAATACTTAAATTTACTATAGATTGATACTATTTCAATACTACTTCGGTACTTTTCAGAACTCTAGTTTTTTAAGATTCCTATAGTAATTAATAATCACTCAAGGCAAATACTATATATTAATTATATATTATTAGTACAAATAATATAATTTATAATCAATTTTCTATTCTCTTCTAATACTATTATTATTAATAATTATTATAAATTATTTTTCTTTAAATTAGCAAACTTTATTATTATTTATACTTGTTATGACATGTCTGCTAATCTATTATTGCATTATATAAATTATCTTTAGATTATTTTAACTTCTATATTTATAATTTACTACATTATATTAAATCACATGATTATTAGTGATTCAAATCTATCTATATATTTTTCCTGTTAATATTAGCTATAACTAAAGATGGGTCCCTAAATTATTTGTGAGGACATAATTCAAATGTCCCTTACTATTAAAAATTTTCATTTCTATATTAAGGAATAAAAAAAAACTATCTATAAAGATTCTTTATAGTTTTAAGCATCTATACAAATCATTTCTGGAATTATGTCCCTATTGAAGTAAAGAGCTAAGAATTATATCCTCTAGGGGACATGAACGTAAAGAGATGTAAATTTTATATGCTAAATACTTTAGGGACCCATCTTTAGCTGGGGCAATAGAAGTAGATAGGCTAGCATTTAACTGTTGTAATAGCAATAGATGATATTTGATATATATGTAACATTAATAATTACTTCAATAAAATCCCTGCATCTAATACCATTCTACTATAAAAAAAAAAAAAAAAAAAAATACAATATATACAAATAAAAGTTTGAAGAATAGAAGCAATTATTACTTTTTAAAGCAGGCCTAGAGGTTGATTGTATTTTCCTTTGCAAAACTTTTATTTTTATATATTATTGAAGGTTTTTGGATTATAGATTATTATTATTTATTTATTAGTGAGAAGAGGAGAATAGCCTAAAGCTCCTGCGGTTTATTTATTAAATTAATAAATAAGAAATAATTTGCAGAATTTACTTCAAATTTATAAAATAGTTAAGCTAAATCTAATTATTTTTTTATAAAATATAGTATAAATATTCAATGAAAAATCCAATTTTTTTTGTAAAATTAAATAACAATCTCTTAAATAATCTTAAGAGACTATAGGTATTTTGATAAGAAGAATATTTTTTATTAATGGTTAGAAAGACATTATCAATATAGATTATTAATTTTTTTATTTTTTAAAAATTAATTTCCGATTTTAAAGATTTATAGAATCAAAAATATTTTATATTATTGATTAACTTTCAATATTATTTTATATTTATTATATAATATATCAATAATATAAGTCTCGTTTTTAATACTTATTAGAAATTAAAAAATATATATAAATATTAATAATATAAATTTGATCAATATCAATGTTTAAACATATTATTATATGAATTGTATTAATAGTAAAACAAGTTTTATCTTGAGTAATTAAATCACTTGCACTTGAAAAAATTCTTTTAGCAGGTATACTTGTTACTAGAATTGCTAAATAATCTTTTACTATTTTATTTAAATATAAATATTTATCTGAATATTGTTATAATAAAAATTATTAATATTTAATTATAAAAAATATAATAAATAAATTGATTATAATAATTGTATTAAGATTTTTATAAATTTTCATTATACTGTAAGTAAAATAAATTTAAATCCAGTTTCGATATTTTTTAGAACTGTTATTTATTGAAATACTAGTTATTTTAGTATCTAAAATTTTGTTATTATTAAAATTTTTTTAAAAATTTTTTATTTTCAAAATTTGTAAAAATGATTTTTTCTGGAAACTCAATATAAGTATCAAATTCTTCAATTTTAAAAAAAATAATTAATAACAAAAAAATAATTTTTTTTATGATATATTTATATATTAATAATTTGATATAACTTCTATTAAAAATCTTTATTTAATATTTATTATTACTTTTGAAAAATATCAAAACTAATCAATATTTTATCAATTAATACTTTACTAATCAATACTTTTAAAAAGTATTAAAACCAATTGATACTTTATTAAAAATTTTGATTTGATATTTAAATTTAAAAATTAATACCAAAACTAAAACTAATAAATCAGTAATAATATTTACTAAAACTGATTGGAATCCTAATTACAAATAAACTATTATTAATATTTAAGAAAAAATTATTTTTAAAAAATTAAATTTTATAAAACTTTTAGAAAAAAATATATAAAAATCAATAGAACTTCTTAACAATATCTATAAAGAAACAAAAAAACAAAAATAAGAACTTTAAATTCTTTTTCAAAATATAATCAAAATATTTGATATTGTTAATCTAAATATACTATATAGAATTTTGATTAAACTTAAAATATTGATACTAATAATAGATCTGTTAATTGTACTATTTTGAAAAAAAAATTTTAAGGTTATAACAAATCATGGTTTAACAAATATAATTATAGCAAAAGATATATAAATCAAAAAAATACTATTTTATCACTCTTATAACAAATCTTTTATGATTTCTTGCTTTATAAAATCCAAAAAAATATAAACCTGAAATATATTATACAATATACTTGAAATCTGACATATCATTTGACAAGAACAAGATACTCAAGCTATACAATGCAACTATTGCATATATAAACGATATTACCTGGAAATTCACTTCAAGCAAAACCTTTAAGAGATTTTAATAAAGTCAAAAAATTCTACAAAACAAATAACTTATAAATTAATAGTTTTAAATCAATCCTACTCAATATAAACAGCACAAAAAGCCAAGAAAAAACTTATTAAAGTAGGAATAGAGTAATTTTAATAAATTATAAGATTGATTGCTTTGCTCAAACTTTCAAATTCATAAAAACAGAATAATCAATATTTTTTATATACAGTATATGAATTTTTTCAATAAAGCATTGTCCAGAAGTTATTAATTAGCAGAGAATAAGTGCGAAACTAAAATATAAATTTTAATACATATGCAGTCATTGGACAAAGGACTCATATAACTGCGGATTTAAATTATAAGCTGATTAATCAGTATATAATTTGAATCCGCGGTTGTATGAATAATTTGTTTCAGCGATTGTACAATGGCAACTAATATAATAGAAATAAATCAACTGTAAAATTAATAATATATTGCAGCCAAATTTATGGAGGACAATAGAACAATTTAAAGAAAAAGTTCGTCCTTTTTGACACGTAGATTTTCCCGATTTAAATGTATGCGTTTGAAATCTTATTATCGCGTCGAGTTATGGCAATTTCGCCGAAAAAAAAGACAATTTCTTGTTTCTTGTATATGCTGAATCAAATTTTCATACACTTAGTAACCTCGATCATTTTAAATAAATATTTTGTACCAGTGCTCGTATCCGACTGCATCGGACTATTTGTTTATGCACATACATATTGTCATGTGCGATAAACAATTTTTTTTTATAAAAAAAAAGATAAATAATCATGCATACAAAGGAGCAAAATATCATCGGTTACATATTCGAATAGAAAAGTTTTCACGCCAAAGAATTGGCAATCTATCAAAATAACCAAGAATTCCTATTTTTAAGGCACCCTTAATGCTTGATGATCGCACTTCCTAATCAGTATAGTATCTCATTGGTTTACTGATTTATATTATAAAACGAAGAATCATAAAATAAAATTCTTTCGTCAAGGAAACCGGGAAGATCTCTATTCATGTTACCAGAATGTATATAAATTGATTTTTTTTATTTCGCTTTATGTATTGAAGAAAAAATTAAAAAATTACAAGGTGATGGTATGCAAACAAAATAATATATTAATTGGAGTGACAATATAAATAGTAATTAAATCAAATAAATGTGAATATTTAAAATATAACAGTTGATATACAAAGTCTAAAGAAGGAATATTTAATATTGCGAAGTAAATAATAATAATAGTAATTGTCCAATGGTATTAATGATGATAGAGAAAACTATTGATATGGTTGTGATGAAAAAAAAAAAATGCAATAAAAAAAAATTTTTTTTAACATCTTTTAAAATTTGAATTCAAAGTGTGTTTTGGCCCCATGATGAACTTGAGAAGTAGTGGTGACAGCTAATTCATTGTTCAAGTCTATGAAATTATCTTTTTTGTTAAACTGCTCTAAACTTTGCTTGTTGCAGTACATCACCAATTCATGAAAACAAAGATATTCTGATATTTTCTCTTTCCCCATCGAATATTCTCAATCAAGAAGAAAAAATATTATCAAAATCTTAATCCTTTATTTATCACAAACACACACACTTGCTTCTTTTTCGACTCATCTCCCCCTCTCTTGTGTTATCCTTACGTATTTTTATTTTTCTCATTAAATCGTTGTAAACCTCATCCACATTCTGTCGTGTTTTGGCTGATGTCTCGTAATATGTGCATTGCCATTCACGCGCTCTAGCAATGGCTTCTTCAGTAGAAACTCTGCGTTTTTGTGCTAAATCTGCTTTGTTGCCAACAAGGATAAATGGAATCTAAAATATATGAAAATGAAAGTTCAATTGCGACCGTCAGAATAACCATTTATTATAAGGAAATCAACATTGAGCACAAATGTGTCATTAAAAAAAGGGATAATATTGAAGAAAGGATTGTTTCATACATTGACATTATCGTTACTTACGCTTTCATCATCAAGTACTCTTAGAATTTGATCTCGAAAGTCCTGGGTGTGTGCAAATGATTCTCGTTCGCAAATGGAGAAAACACAAAGGAATCCTTCACCTGAACGATAATAATTATCGCGGATCTGTTATAAATTTTGGTCAAGGTAAAATAGATCGCTGAATACACTAGACTGGTGAAGCTATCTATTCAATTACTATAATCAAACTAAGCTTGATGTCTGTCCAAAGTATTATATGGTAAAAATTACTGAGAAAATAATAGAAGGATACAGCAGCGTATTCTTCCTGTCCAGCAGTGTCTAGAATGTCAATTAGACATTCTTGTCCATCTAACAATACCTTCTTGCGATAAGAATCTGCCTTCGTTGGGTCATACTCCTCAACAAAGTCACCATACATATATTGTAAGGTCAAAGCCGATTTACCAACACCACCGGACCCAACCATGATGACTTTATGTAATGGAAGATCTTGCTTTGCTCTTTTACCCATTATGATATGGTGGCTTTTAGAAAATCTAGGTGAAAAATTAACCAATATAGAGGAGGACGAAGAAATAGAATTGAGATTTAGAAAAGGAGTGAGCAATAAGGGAAGGAGAAGAAATAAGTTTATTTCAAAGAAGGTAGAAGCTATAGAGAAGTAAAAGGATTAATATAAAGTCGAAAATGCGGAGATTATAAGGATTTTGTCCCAATAAGGTGACTGTGGATAGGTATGGTTGGGAACGATAAGGGAAAGAAAGATAAGTTGCAGAATAATGAAGAAAAACACATACAAAGTAATTCATGCAGGTACGTAATAAACGAACGCAATTCTTTGTGGTTGACACAAAAATAAATGAATCACAAGCGGACAGCACGCTGCGTGGTCCGATTTGGACTGATGTAATTCGTGCAGTTCAATCATAAATTTGGACGGAATGTGGGGAATAATCATTATTTGTCCTTTTGAACTAGCTTATCAGTAATTCGATTGGTTATAATACAGAATGCACTTTGGCGTTACAGTTTTTCTATAAACTATATTTCTCGGGGAGCAAGAACAGGTCAACATTTCTTCCTTCTTGGGAGTCAGGAGCGCATGAATTATGCGTAACAACAAATAAATCAGGTAAAATCTTGTCTTTAATCCTTGATGTAATCAGATGATGCGATTAACATAATTTTTTCAATAAAATGAGGAATTATAAATTCTTCGCAAACATTTTGATGCATCTTTTTTGAAGTTGCACGATCGTGAAACTTGGAGTTTCCGTTAAGCCACATAGCAGAATCTCATAAATGCAGAGCTTTAATTTTTTTAATAAAATATTCCAAAAAATAAGGTTAATAGATTATGCAAGTGCATGTAAATTTTTTACTAAGATCTTATAATTTAAATTAAATAAAAATATTTAAAAAAAATTTTTTTAATTATTGAAATATTTGAATTAACTTTATAACTTAAAAAATCAATATATACAATTTCCCTCAGATCACTTAAACATTATTATAATTAAACAGAAATAGTTGTTATACAGTATATTAATTAAACCTTTTATTTTATTAATAAAAATAACTTTTATGTATTAAGTAAACTTGTTTCTCATAATGAATTTTATTTTATATATGGTTAAATTTTTATTAAATTTGAACAAAATTTTATTATTATGTTTAATAATTTTTTTTTAAATGAAAAATTTTTAATTTTTTTATTAAAATTTTGACAACCACTTGATTTTTATAACCATTGTTTTAGCAAATAATTTGATACTAATAAATTTTGTTTAACATATATTAAAGTATTTAAATATTAAGTTTTATAAATTTTTATCTAATATTTAACTTTTTATTTAATAAAATATACAGTTTTTTAAAAATAGCAAAATATTAAATTTTTATATTTAATTATAATTATTAATTAATTTTAATTAATTATTAATAGTAACTACATATAAAATTTTTTTATTATTATTAAAACATATTTTTATATATTAAGTAAAGTTATTATTTAAAATAAATACATATATTATAAAGTTTTTATTAAATATGAATAAATATTTAATATTGAATTTTATAATTTTTGTTAAAATAAAAATATTTTACATTTTATCAAATAAAATTTAAATACTAAATAAAAATTTATGAAACTTAATATTTAAATATTTTAATATATACTGAACAAAATTTATTGATATCAAATTGCTTGTTAAAACAATAGTTATAAAAATTATAAGTATTAAAATTTTAACAAAAAATTAAAAATTTTTATTCAAAAAAAATTGTTAAATATAATAGTAAAAGTTTGTTCAAATTTAATAAAAATTTAATCATATATAGAATTCATTATAAGAAACAAGTTTACTTAATACATAAAAACTATTTTTATTAATAAAATAAAAGATTTAATTAATATATAATAACCATTTCTAGTGAAAGAATCAAAAGAATCACGTTAATTTTTAATAGAATTTTGGAATCAACAGAAATATCAAAGCAGTGAAACAAAATTAACATCTATCTGATCCTCAAGAGAGCAAACTGGCAATATGATCTAAACTGTATAAGACCCATTGCACTGTTAGAAACGATCAAAAAAACATTCACTAAAATTATTAACAACAGAATTAGTAATATACTAATGGAACATGAAATCATTTTATCTTTCAACTGGGCAGGACTTTTAGAAGGAGGCACACAAAAACCAATTAGCATTCTTAACAATGTATTGGAGGAGGCAAGAGAGCTAGACAAGAAATGCTGAATCCTAAGCCAGGACATTAGCAAAACCTACAATTTAATAAACCCAAAGCTTTTAAGCAAGGCTTTACAAAGAATCAAAGTTCTAACAACTATTAACAAGATTTTAGAAAACTCAACCAACAACAGAGAAACCAGGATCATCATATATCATGGTCTTACAGACAATTTCAAACCAGCACAAGGTATAGACCAAGGAGATACAATCTCACCTTTGCTATGGTATATCTACTACAATCTACTAATTAGCAGAGTAGAAAAAGGAAATATAGGATACAAGTTTTCAGTTCAAAAACTCACAAACAATCCAAGCATATAGAGAAAACAAGAATACAGCATCTTGTCAATAACATATATGGATGATACAATCTGGATAGCAAGTTGCTGAGAGCATATTGATAAGATCATCAAAACCACAGAACAATTTGCAAAGTTGACTAATCTTAGAGTAAACTCAGAAAAAGCAGCACTTCTCACAATAAATAGTATTAGCGAGGAAATTGCATGGAACGTGGCCACGGTACGCGATCTGGTGCGTCGCGTACTCTGAAAATTGGAAATAATCAGTGGGATTGCATAAGCAATAACAAAATAATTAGAGTTTAAAATAGACTTTCCATAACTTCCCTTGTAAGGATAGTCTATCGATAATCTAATTTCCTTGTTATCTTATGATATAAATAGAAGAGAAAATTGTAAAGAGTCACGTAGTATGCAGTACAAATAATAAGAAAACCCGTTCCCTAAATTAAAACCTTCTTAATTAGAACATGTATTTATCATTGCCAAACCAAGTAAAAACTAATTAACTTACCTAATCCAGTACTTGTTGCGAGATAGGATGGCTGAGATCACAAAGAGAAAAGTGGTAAAGATTTGTTAAGAGAAGTGAACAACGGAAAGAAAAGCATTAGTAGAACTTGGCTAAACAACTCACATGCCTCAAGTCGAGAAGCCAAACACTTACTGAACGTTATGCGAAAAGTGCTTAGGAGAAGTGACAGACTTGCCGAGAGAGACGTTAACATCCTACAATAGGGTTGCTCATAACTGTAGGCTTCTGACACACTGGTTAACAGTCTAGGCTCTTTGTAAAGCAAATCCTTATGCAATCAATACTGTTAGTCTAATTTTCTTCTTTTATAACCTTTTCGTATATTTGACTGACTTGACATGTAGAGTTATAACCTATTATTATTTTTGAGTATTTTGCATTTTATATAAGCTAATGCAAGTTTGTTTGATTCTAATTTTCAGAACTATATTTAAATTACAACTTGTATCGATTTTGAACTCATACAAATCATAAATTTTCATATTATTTGCTATTAATATTATTCTTTTAAGCTTTATACTAGATTGAAATAGTTTACATTAAGGTTTTAACTATTATGAAACAAGTATTAATTATATTAATTATAGTTTTATTTGTATTTCTAAATGTATTGCATTCTTGCTTTTAATAATACTAATTAAACAACCATTACATTATATTATCTTTTTTAAAGATTACAATATTAATATTTGTTGATATAGTTGAAAATATTAGATTGAATATACTAATTAATATTAGTATAATTAGTAAAAAGTTTATATATAAAATATATATAATTATCTTAATATGTAATTAATAAAAACTATAAGACCTGTGAGTTCATAGCACAGTGGGTAGTACTCTCAAGTTACCAAACACATGTTCCTAGTTTAATACACACAGGAAACAAAAGTGTATTTTATCTTCATATTTAGATTTATTGGATATCCTGCATATATCATACTCAATAATCCTTAACACATCCAAATTCAGTTAGGTTGCATAAAGATGGGACCTCTGATCTTCCCAATAATCATAGGCTAAAAATAGGTCGAAGCATAAAAAGTTGTATGAGAAAAGGCTTCTGGTCTAACTTTGATAAAAGCTTACAAAAAATCTTAACCCAAACTGGTCCTAAAGAGGTTAATCCTAAACTGTTCTATTGCAATATGGAGCTTGAGAATCTATTCCATGAGTAGTGTTCACATTGTTACACTTAATTTTTATTTAAGATTTTCACCATCTCTTATTTTATTTTTTTATTCGCATTTACTTATAAATAACTTTACTTCTAAACAGGTTCTTGTACTACTGATCCACTGTTACAGTTTTATCCATATTCCTCATATTTCTTAAATTAGAATATTTTTTTTTATTATCATTGGGTACTATGCTTTTCATGCTATTAATGCTTTAGAATATTTCCTATTTTACTTATTTTTCTTTAATTGCTTATATTTGCCAAAGTATTTATTTCTATGTTAGCATATATAAATAATTATTCTGACAAATATAACATTTCTTTTATATCTTTATTATCTCAAAGAACTCATATTTATCATATACAAAAATATTATATCTTCAATATGTATAAAAATAGATTTCAATTCCTTTTGGAATTGTAAATAAGATAAAAATTCCATTTTAATAATATAATAAACTGTTCTTTACAAATAATCACAATTATATTTTCTTCATATAATTATAATTGTTATATCTCTGGCCTTATTATCTTTGAAACCTCAAATATGCTTTCTCTATGAACTATAGCATATCATATTAGGATTATGTTATAAATAAAATGTCTCCCCGCTATCAGTTCTTCATTCTATGTTAATCTTTGAGGTTGGATTGGCATATAACAATATAAACTTAAATGGACTGAAAAGACAAAAGGTTATCAGCTACAGGAGATGACAATCCAAACAAAAATTGTTAAGATCAAGTGAGTCTAATGAAAATTGTCAAGATTAAATCAGAATTCAAGCAAGGACACCAGTTTTACAGGTGATAAAAACAGTAGTGCTGCACTATACTAGTGGCATATCTTGATAATCAGTGATAACAGGTGATTGGAATAATTGAGTTAATCTTTATAATAACATTCTATACTACTTTGTTCTTTGCAATATGGACTTAATAGGTTAGGTAGATTTTAAACTAGTGATAGGATTTCCCTTTTGCAGAAAGTTTCACCTAATGTATAGACATATTTTCAAGTGTTTAAATAAATACATAGTTGGGTTATAAGTAGTTGGCATAGCTAGTCTTATAGCAATATATGTACTAAAGCAATGTTAATCTGCAGATTAACTATAGAGACATAACAGATATCCATATATCCTTAATTTCCAGTTAATTTATAGAAACACTTGGTGTTTGTCTGGATATAAATGTATTAATAAAGATCACATACCTTGTGCATGTTCCACTTTAAAAAAAAATTAATAAAAACTATATATGTGACATATTTAATTTTAAAAAAATGTATCAATATTTGCTAAACCAATATATAAATTGGTTTTTTATAAAAAATAATATCTAACAGATTATAATATTTAATATTATATTAATTTTATTTAATTACTTTTATCTGGAGTTAAATTAATATTTTATAATCTAATTTATAAAATACCAATTATTATATTATAAATTTATAGGTCTTAATATATATTAAATTTTTTTTTAATTTTTTTTAAAGTTTACAATATATAATATATAATATATTATAACCTATGAATTATTATTATAGAGATTAATACTTTTAGATCCAAATTACAAAATATTATCACTTTGATTTTAAATAAAAACAATTAAGTAATATTAATATAAAATTTAATATTATAATCTATTAAGTATTGTTTTTTATAAAAAGCCAATTTATATATTAATTCAGTAAATATTGAAATTATAATTTTTTCAAAAATGATATAGTAACATAAAAATTATTCAAAATATTATAATAATCATTGAAAAAAAAACTTTTATATTTGAATATAAAGATTGAGTTATATTCTATTTTAATTATTTTTTATTAACAATAACAACAAATTTAAAAATATAAATTAGAAAATACTTTATTTCAATTAATCATAATTAATATTTCTTAATAGTAGTTGAAGTATTAGCTTAAAATATTTTAATTCAATATAACTTAAATATTTATATTAGCTACAAATATAAATTTAAAATTAGTACAAGTTTATAGTTTGAGATTTAAATAATAAAATAAAAAAATACTTGAATTAATTTTTATAATTAAGTTTTTTCTAATATAAATTAAATTGAATAAATTAAATAGTTTAAAACCAGTGATATAATTTTTACTTTTTAAGGTTTTCTTTTGATATTATAACAGAAATATTTCAAATATTAAACTTTAAAGTATTAAAATAATAAATAAATAAATAGATATTAAATTGTAATATAATATTACAAAAGATTTTTTTAAATAGGTGGTTTATACCTTGTTTTATTAAGTTTATTTGAGTATTACAAAAGATATTAAATATATTTTATATATTATATATATACATTTGTTTAAAATGTTTTTAAACAAATTTTTAATAGATATTTTTGATAAAATAAAAGACCTATGGGTCTATAGCATAGTGGTAATGCTCCATAGGTCACCAGGAGAAGGTCTAGGGTTCAAACCCACCTGGTTACAAAAATTTATCACCTTCATGATTGGTTGACCGGCTTCCAATACATGTTGTACCCAATCAGCTGAAAATCATCTACCAAATTAAGCTAGGCTGCACGAAGATGGGACCTCTGGTCTTTCTGAAGATCGCGAGCTGAAACAAGGTCGAAGCAGAAAAGGTTGCACAAGGCAAGGCTTCTGGTCTAACTCTGATACAAGCTCACAACCCCAACTGGAACAGCAGACTTCGTATCACCATCCTTCCTATTCAGATTAACTAGTTTCCTGATATAGGTCGTACTTAATCAGCTAGTACCCCAAACTGGATCGGCAGACTCTGAAATTCGATTGGACCTTTACCTCCCTATCTGATGTTGGTGCAATCCGGATTGGTGACCCAATTGATGTGGTTGAGTCGGGTCATAAGTCAAAAAGAAGACCACTAGAAAGGTTTTTTACTATTGGCACAGGATTTTCCTTACCTTATATTTACAAATAGGGAGTCATAAGTATAAACCAGGATATGGACTCACCTACTTGGTGTAAGTCAGTATTCTGATAAAAAAGACGAGTAGCATGAGTTAATATTAGCAATAGTTAATAGACTGTTCATATATGGTAATTGTAATCTTAATTGATTCAACAATAAAATTCACGCTTGTATCGCAACTTAGCCCTTCAAAAAAAAAATAAATAAAATAATTGATAAAATAAAATAAAAATTTAAAAATATAGTAATAAGAATATAAAAAACAAATTTACTTAATAGGATTTTATTAATATATTATTGAAATTTATTGAAATTTATCGTTATATCAAAATAAACTTTTTTAAAATATATTGATTTAATTAAATTATGATAAATAAATAAATAAATTATTTATAATAATTTTAATTTATTAATTTATAAAATAAGAACTAAATTAAAAAATAATTTTTATTAAATTTTAAGTTGCTTATATGATTTTTTAATTAAAGAAATTTATTAAAATTTAATATAAAATATAAGATTTTTTTAAAATTTATATTAAAATAAAAATAAAAATTTTTTATTAATTAATCAATTTTTTTTATTTTTTCATTCATAATTTATATATATAATTATATACTGTATATAAATTTTTAAATAAACTTTTTTGGTATTAAAATTAAATTTTAAAATTAAATTTATTAATAAAGTATTAAAAAAAGCTTATTATTTTATTTTTTATACTAGCATTATTATTTTATTGCTTTATTTTATCTTATATGTATATAATTTTTAAAAAACCAATAAAATTAAATATATTGGTTTGTTTATATTTATATTTTATTTATTTATATTTTTTATTACTTATGAACAATGTTTTGTTTATAACTTTTTTTAATATAAAAATATTAAAATACAAAATTAGTATCTTGTACAAGTTTTGATATTACCAACGTAAATTAAAATTAAAAAATATTATATAATTTTATTTTATGTCAAAAATACAAATTTGAAATTAACTTATTTTATAATTAAAAGACTATTATCAATTAAGATCTTTAATCTAATTATTATACTATCTATACTCAATATTTATTGCAACATTAATAATATCATAACAATATTATAATAATAGAGTTGTAACCTGTATTGCCCTGTTCATAAAATAGGTAATGTTTGACTGGATTAAGTAGTTTAAGTTTATGACTTATTTAGGATAACAGCAGGCTAAAGATAGTAGCCAATACTGATATTCATAGAATTTTTTTCAAAAATTATTTAAAAGTTATGCCTAGTAATTATGTTTCTTATTATAAAAAGGTTCATTTCTCCACTTATAAATAAATAGTTTTTTCTACTTTTCTCTATAGGGTTTATAAAATATATATATTTAGTGTATATTAGTATTTATAGTAATATATCTTGATATAATATGTTTGAGAAGTGCTTTACAAAAAAAAATTTTTTTTATTTAATTAATTGGGGAGTTTTTTTTACAAAGTCAAAAGAAAATAAATAATTTTAAGAAAAGATATGGTATTAACAAAAATCATTAATCACCATATAATTAATAATTTCTGATGTAGTGCTAATAAAATGAAACCAATATTATTTTTTATGAAAAAAAGTTAGGTGAACAGATTATTTAAAAAAACTCAATTGCAACGATAATAATAACATAAAGCATCCGAAATAAACGAATCGATATTTTTCTTAAACCCGATACCATTAAATGTTTAAAATGTTATTCATAAATAATTATATAAAACAGTGAGTATGATTTTTAATTTTAAGAAATTTCACATAAAAAAATAATAAATTTTATCATGATTTTATTTACAATAAAAATCGCATGTAATATGGTAAGTTCACAAATTTAAAAATAAATTTATTTCGAAAATCATTTTATACAAAAAAAAATCCATTGAATTTTTTTATGAACATACAAATCTCGTGGATTTAATCAAATCGTATTAGATTTTCAATGAATTGTGATATTGAGAAAAAAAAAATACAAGTATCAAAATAATTTTTTTTTAAATAATAAAAAATACCTGGAAATTACATGTTATTTGGAATTACTGTAAATGCGACATTTTAACCTGTCGATGTTTACTTCACGATCACCTAATAAAATTTACATTGTTGACATTGGATTTTTTCAAATTTCAATTTTTCGATATCACGGCATTCATTCTTGATTGAATTCGGTATCACGCAAAGTTCATTGTAAAAAAAAAAAAGCAAAATTTTATCCAGATACAATAATATTATGCAAATATTAGGAGAATCAATAATTTCAATGTAATATTACACCTCAATACACGCAATATGCAACCAATCTTTTTAATAAGAAGCAATACTAGAATCCTTGATATACATATTCTGTCAAACAGTCACACCATTTACAGTATAACCCGACAGTCATTACAGTAGTACAGTATTTCATTAAAAAAAAAAAACGGAAATTTCAGTCTATGGATTTGTCACATCTTAATTCTGAAATTGGTCTAGCCGAAATTGTCAACCAAGATACAGTATTCAAGACACTGTACTGTATTGCAAACATCAATTGGTCTACACATTGGAAATTTCTTTTTTTCCCATGATGTGGCGGGCGCAAATATTTTATTTTGATGAACCAGATGCTTTATTTAAAGTTATGTCTCATATCAAACGAGAATATATTTTTTTTATAACGAGTGACGATTCATATACAGTGTACCATATTATGCGACAAGGCAAAGTTGGTATTCTTTGGAATTTTCTAAAGGAGTGTGTGATATTTTACAATGCTGATGGTGATTTTGCTACAGTATACAGTACTTTTGTTTCATGTCGCCCAATAGAACCAGTCTATGAGTCTATCAAATTGTTTTGGATCATATTAGTCAACGATGGAGAGACAGTTTTTTTTTTTTCATCAATTCTTAAAATAAATGGTCATTATACATACTTTCTAAAATCATCATCCATTAGAGTGATACTATCCGTGACGCACCCATACTTTGATACCTCGTGGACTTTATTCATAATGTCTTCAGAACATGCATTTTGAACCGATGGGTTAGAATCAGGTTCAGAGTCCAGAATCATGTGAATCATAAATAAAATCAGCACTTACAATCTCGGGATTCTGCCAACTCGATATTCGAGTTTTTTACTGTAATCGTAGCGTAGAAACGATTAATGTATTGAAAAAAAAATATCGATAACATATGATCATAGTATTTGATCAAAATACTTACGCTCGCTCATCATGTCATTTACACCATTCGCGTTATCAAGGAACGATATGAACCTGCTGAAATACTTTGCCTTTAAGTTTGGCCTCATCCTCTGCCGTTCCTTATATAGTGCCCTTCGCACCTTCTCATTCCACGCACTTTTCTTCCCGTTCATATCATCGTGGCTATTTACAAATTTCCTGGTTTTCACATTTTGGTCAGGTTTCTCCAGTTCACTAATTTCCATCAACAGTTCATCGATGCTAGGTCGATTTGCCGGTAACGCGTCCAGACACCACGAGATAATCTCACGGTATTTCTCGGGCATGTCTTCGGCCATAGGTGGTCTCAATCCATTGCAAATGTCAGCGCATAGCATGGAGTCATGTGCTCTCTCAACAAATGGTCGTTGGCCTGACCACAATTGCCACATGATAATTCCAAATGAATAGATGTCGGATGATCGGGTGCGCACCCCGCTCACAAGAACTTCGGGAGCGACGTACGGCATCACTCCGTATGTGCCCTTGGTCATCAAATCACGTGATATTAGCGGATCAGCGGGTTTCGAAACGCCAGCGTCACCAATGTATGCGCAATTGAAGGCATCGACAAGAACGTTACCGCCGTGGAGATTTCCATGGACCAGCCCGGATTTGTGAATAGCAAAGAGACCATCGGCAATAGAGCGTAGGAGAGAAAAGGTGTTGCGAGTGGAGGCATAGGATTGGGTAGCGAGGTATTCGTAGAGGGAGTTTTGTTCGGCGTATTGCAGGACCAACATGAATTCTTGGTTCTGAGGATTACGGGTTATGCCATAGGTGCGTAGTAGACCAGGAGTATCGTAGGACTCCAGGTCGGGGGTGTAACGACTTAAAATTCGTAGCTAAAATTGAAAAATATGCGAATAAGCATTGTACATAATGTATGTGAAAATGTAAAATATGAGACTACCTCGGTGAAGAATTTAGGTTTGATATTTTGTGATTTTGAAAGCGACTTTAAAATAACCGCTGTACGTCCCCTTCTTTCCCACTTGGGCATTTGGCTCTCATTTGTTTCACGGTTATTGCTGTGGTCATAATTTTCCTCCTCAAACTTGGGTGGACCGTCCCTTGGCCCTTCCTTCCATGTGGCCCTGAAGACAGTTGAAAAGCTACCTTTGCCGATGTACTCCACATTCTCGAATTGATCGTACTCAATCCACTCGATAAAGGAAAATATCGACCCCGAATTCGCTTGTATACTTTGAATAACTAAGTCGATGCACGAATTTTTACTTGTCCAGTTGGGATATGCAGATTGATACCCGTAGTACTCGCATTGGCGACACCAGTAATAATGAAAGCGATTTTCACAGCAGTTTGGACAGGTTCCGTAGAGCTCGGCGGAGGACTTTGGAGAGGAGCTTTGCGAAGACATTTACGTATATACACTGTATATACAGTACGTATTTTAAATTTTTTGTATCTTAGTAGTCACGTGTATTTCCACGGCAAGAATATTTTTACAGTATGTATTTGCTGTTAGTACGTGTGCATCTACCGACACCTTAAAAAAACTTTGCTATTTTAATGGCAAATGATAAATGTTTTAGAGAAAATATCTAGTTTTGTCTGGGAGGTGTAAACAAAAATCTGGTGAGCAATTACAGTAACGAGGAAATGAACGTGATCGTATCAAGAAGAAGTTTGAAGCGAAAGGAATGACAAGTTGATAAAAGTTGAAGTAAGTTATCCTGTGGAAAACAAAATAAAATGATTTTAGTACAAGGTCGATTGAGGTGAAATAATTTTGTCGGCGTAAATAGGTGAAAGTGGTTGAGGGTATTCGTGCTTAGTTTGGTGAATGAAAGGATGACCTGCAACATCAGTTTTGTACCGAACGCGAGCATTTTATTTATTTCCAGGTGGCGCATTTCAATGTATCAAAATGTGCATCTAAAACCTATTGACTTATTATTTGTATGAATAAGTGATAGGTCACAAAGAACGTGGCTGTGGGACTGTGAATATTGACATGTCTCTGTGTTGTCGTATTTTTTAGGGATCAATGTAATGGAACTACCCTAGTATGGTTGGACTGTTTACTATTTGTTTGGATTTTGTGTTACTTACAAATTTTGATACTTAATGCGAGATGCTTTTATTCCTGATAAGCGGGGTCCACAGAACCGATGAACTTGCGAATACTGTATCGAGATTCACGCGCCTTCGTTGCGAAGGAAACAAATAAAAACATCAATATCTCAAACGTCAAATTAACCTCGATTCATCAGAGTAGTATGGCGCAAATACCGTACATGCATGGTTACGTAACTGCGCATCTGATTTATGAAACGAGTCCTTTGTTATGTCATTCGATAACCTTCCTTTAGCTGATATGTGGATTTCGCGACTTATTTGGTTTTAAACGTCTTATGCATCATTCGGGTCCCTAAACAAGTCTTCCGAAATTGATTCGTTTCACAAAGGTTAATCATATGCGATATATGGTTCAATCCAAACGGTCATACGACATTTAAAATCCAATTACAGTACTGCAAAGGGTCTCTTACGCTAAATTACGCTTAAGTAACCATTTAATGCTTTCCTTGCGACTTATAGGAAACCGAAATTTTCGAATTACCTTCCCCTTTCCTTTACCCCACTGTTACGAAGAAATGTGTGTGTCAACTTGAATTTTCCAATCGGATCCAATCATAATTCAAAAAAACCTAACAAAATTTCGGAAAAAAATCTCAAAGATGGAAAGTCTTGAAAACTCCAATTCCGAAAATTCCTTGAAAATGATCTTGTTTACAGAACTTGAAACTACATTAAAAACTCATCGGATAAATCATAGAAATTGGATTTAGGAGAATGAGATTGGATTAAGTAATGTAACAGAACGCTAGTAAGTACAAGGTGAATTTGAAATTTTATTCAATTGCCAAAAAATGCAAACAAATATTATGAGATTAATGCGGGTACTTGCTTGTTCGGCGAAATACTTTTAACATGTACTGCATGTTTGAGAAAATCATTCCAAAAATAGTTAATGCTGAGACTCCGGAAATTCATCGCAAATAGATTTGTACCGAGAAAAATATGAATTGCAACAAAAAATTTTGAAAAACAGATAACGGTAACGATAGCATCGTACAGCACCGACCGTATATCAAAATCTCAATGTGAAGCAGATCCGTTATGATTTTTCCTTAATGGCACGTCATACGCATCCGTGACATTGGTAATATACAGCAATTAATCTTTGTGTAATCTTATTGGTTCATCGCATTACATTATTAATTCAATCTTGAAAAAACACTTGGCACAAAATATGAGTGTAATAATTGCCACAGAGTTCAAAGGTCTTTATTGTTACAGGCAAATGATTACACATTGATTAGTGCGAACACAATGATTTATCACAGGGTTTCAAAATATAAACAATAGCGATGTCTGTTAATGCCATCGGGCATCACTTGGAAACGACCATAGTAATCTTTTTTTAAAAAAATCAAGATATGCTTAAAGATAAGCAAATAATGTGTGTTCTATTGTGTATAAATAAACAAAACTAAATTACCCATTTTTAATCTTGCACACAAAGAATCATAGCGTAATTAGTTTTTTTTTCTTCCTAAGAAACGTATTTATTCTCGATTAAACAAAATAAGAGTCTTTGAATTTTTCAAGTATTAAAATTAGATAATCGAATCGATGCATGAAATCTGACGGATATCATGTCATGCAAAAGTATAGTTTATCTTATCTAATGAAATGATCGATGTTCATTTATCTGATATTGAATAATTAATTATGATTATTAGCATCCTTAGTGCCATGCAAAAAATTATAAAGAAATCGTCTTGTAAATTTTATTTGCTCAAATTCATGTGATTCTTTATACAGTATTTGTCAATTCGTATATGCGTACAGTATACAAAAACTAATAATTTAATATTTATTCAAATACTTTTTTAACATTAGCATATACTGTATATGGACTGTACATATGCGTAAAAATCAATTCTTTGTCGAAAAAATCAATCAACGATACAATGATTTCCAAACATCGTATATCATATTAAGGATAAACAGGTGAGACAAGAACATTTAAATCAGATACTGTATGAGACATTTTCATTTGATCCCCTATTCTCAAAACAAGCTTTTTTTTTTTTTTCCTTTTTATTCCAACTGGTAAACGTCTAACCTTTTTCATACTGTATTAACCGGTAAATCAGTTCCTTTATTGCTTTTAGTAGTAGACAAGCAAACATACTCCGGCGTTTCCGAACAACTATTCACTTGACAATGAGTCGATAGGTTATCGGACAAATAGTCCGTGTATTTAGACGACAAGTATGTTCACATGTAAATATTTTGAAACTTTGCAATGCAAGAAGAATATAGATAACCAAAGAAGACTCCGAAGGTTCCTTAATATACGTTTATTTGTATATGCTAGTTTATAATCAAAACAATAGATGAACTGAACAGATTAAATTACGTATGTATGCATTAATGAGCAACCGCTGTATCAAGTGTTTGATTAAGGTGGTTAATCGAAAGAATTGGACCAGCTATTGTTTCAAGGATCGCGTTGCCTGAGAATTCGAAAGGTGTGGTTCCGGGAGGCGCGATCTGCGCACCCAGTCGAGTGAAAGATATCTTAATGTGACCACGATCTAGAATGTCCAATTCAAGGCTATAGTTGTCGGAATTTGTATCAGTATCAGGAAAGCCTTTGTTAAATTTCCCATCAATTAAGACAACTGTTTCTTTAATTTGAGTGAACGTCATCGTTCCAGAGAGGTTGGTGAATGTGGCAGTAGCTTTGTCGCCAATGTTGGCACAACATACGAGAGAGATATGCGAGAATGAAAGTAAGGTTATGAGCAGAGATAATTTTACGAATGTTGTAGCTTTCATCATATTCGCTTTGAAAATTTTCCGGAAATTCTTCTATCAAGGAACAAAAAATTTTACCCTCTTATATTCCATTTTACACGATTTATACCTTACTCTACACGAATTAGTGATCATTTGCGCAATTACAGTAGTTGGTCAACATTTATGGTGGGAATGAAATACCAAAAATACCTATAATTTCTAATAGTTCATAATAATATGCTGGTGTATCTAAAGTTTTTATTTTCTTAAATTGGTTAGTATTGTTTGAAACCTAAAACCTAACTACTGTACTGTACTGTGCTTTCCCTAGTTCGATTGCGACCATTCCTCGCGTCATTAACTACTGTATACGGTATAATGTTTATAATTTAATTATATTGCAAATGATAATACTTTGAAATATCTTACTACAAACACCAATTTATTAACAAAATTTTAATAATATAATTTTTAATATGAACGATGGAAAATATTAAATTTCCTTGGGTCTGTCGAATTTGCGAAATGTAAGTAAAAAAAAATAGTTTTAATAAACTTTTTAGAAAGTTTCTTGTTAACTTTAAGGAATGTTACTTTTAGTTGAAAATCATCAATGGTATATGGTATTTTAAAATATGCTATCATTGATATCTGATTAGATGTCAATTATATTAATTGCGTTTTTGTAAATTTATAATATTATTTATTTTTATGAATTTTATAAAATTTTAGAATAGTCATAGCAAATTAAAAAAAAATCAGTTGAAAAATATAAAAGCAAAAAAAAATTAAAATAATAAAATAATAAACAGGATTATAATAATTACTAAAATAAATGTTATTAGATATACTATGTAATAATAATAATAAACAAAAAAAATCTTTTAAATAATAAAAATGACATTATATACAGTACATACAAATTAAAATTTAAAAAAAAAAATTGATTTAATAATTTAAAAATCAGAATTATATGTAAATATTAAAAAATATAAATCACAATATTTTTTAAAAAAAAAAAACTTTTTTTAGAATCGGTTACCCTTTTTTTTTAACATAAATATTATATGTATTTTTTTTATAATTTGTTATTTTAAAAAAAATTCAACAAAACTATTATAAAAAATTATACAAACAAAAAAATTTTAAATTATTATTTTATAAATATTTTTGTTTAAAACAAATGATATGATTTTAATTTATTTATAAAAAACAGATATAATTTTTAATTAATAAATAAACTTAATAATAATAATAATAATAATAATAATAATATAAGATCTATAAATTAATATTATAATAATCAATATTTTCAAATTCAAATTACAAAATATCAATTTAATTTCAAGTAAAAATAATTAAATAAAATTAATATAATATTTGATATTATGATTTGTTAACATAACTTTTTATAAAAAATTATTTATATACTAATTCAATAAATAATAAAATTAAAAAAAAAAAACTCTTACCCGTCCACCACTGATTTCTTGAAAATTTCCTTATATGGTAATTTTCTTGAAAGAAGCGCTTTCCTCTCTCCCTTCAATATGCCAACTATGCCATAAGCTCAAGGACATAAGGACTTTAAAGACCACTGTTGCATTGGGATGGGACCTC